GTGCTTCCCTTGCTCAGCCTGGGAATCTTAGTAGTCAATCCTAGCGAGTCACTACGCTGCATACTTTGTTAATAAATAACAATATTCGTACAATTTAATGGCGATGTACACGTACCGCAAATGAGTTCAAGTTAATTACTTAACGCTGCCTACTCGATTTCGTCAGTATCAAAAATGTCTCTTAGATTTCTCGATGATAATATTAGTGACTCAGCTAAAATTACACGCAGGATCTGCTCAGTATTGATATAATGCTGACTCAACCCCGTTGTATAGTATAACAGTATCACAAAATTTTCACAAGTTATAGTCAATACACAAAACACAATTGATTATCAGATAACCATTTCCTACAGGTGACAGCGACCTTTCGTCAGTATCAATTTACCGCCACACTCTTATCAAATCACTGCTGTGTTAAAATCAATCAACCTTTTGTAAAAAGGCAGTGATGATTCAGAAATAGATCAAAAAAACTTAGTCTTAAAGAAAAAGATTTCCCTCAATCGGAACGCTCCAAAAGAACAAAGCCCAGGACACAGTCTTCTCAAGTGTGTGTGTATTTGCCTATTACACTCACCGAGGTCCTTTTTTTATGTGTTCCCGGATTGCCCGAGCTTTCCTATTAAGTAGCTCAAGGCAACCACACAACTGAATCCACAACCAAAAAAAAAATTGTTGGGGTACCTCTAACAGACCCGATCTAGAATCCACAGTTGATTACAAATCTCTGGGTCAAATTGGCTCCTGTGATCTTAATATGCACGCCCGTTGGTAGTTGACGTTTTATTCCGACTCTTATTGGATATTCTAGTTGCTCAAATTGCCCCAGAAGATACTCCTAAATTTTCAATAAGGAGAGTTGCTAAGAGGCTTAAGTCACTCCGGAGGGTTACTCCGGAGGGTTGTTAGGAAACTTAGCTTACCTCGGAGGGTTACTTCGGAGGGTACCCTAATCCCCCAAGTTACTTCGGAGGGTCCCCCTAAACTCACTAAGGAGGGTCAATAAGAGGCTTAATACGCTCCGGATGGTTAGTTCGGAGGGTTCCTTCAAAATTTCAAACTCTTTGAATATCACTTGTAAGGGTCTCCTACTAGTCTCAGAAGGTGTCAACACAAGCTAAATTCTCTGTGGGGAGGTTGTTCTAACTTCTTCGGAGGGTCTCGTGGAAATATTCCACTAAGGGGGGTTGCTAAGGAGCTTAGCTGACTCCGGAGGGTTACTTCGGAGGGTTCCCCAAAGTCAAGAAAAAGGGTTATTCTAAAGCGATAAAGCCTCCGAATGCGGTGTAACTGACTTAAAACCAGGTTGGCTGACACGGTCTACCTTCCCAGTAGGATAAAAAGGTGTTCTTATAAAATTTTCGGCCGCTCGGAGGGTTCCCTATAATTTGGACCCTCCGAACCAACAAATTCTAAATAAAATTTCTTTTCCGAGATTATCAACCCAAAAACGGTTGCGGTCCGGATAACTGGTCAAAAACGTTGACCTATGGTACCAAAATAACTCCAATCGATGGGCTAGTATTTGAGAAATTGCCAAAAACGCGTTCGTCAAATTGGCATTTTCACCACCCTTATAGGTTCTGAAAGCCTTTTCCCTCAATTCCTATTGAAAGTGCATAAAAAAAATTGAAACGAGCGTAGTAGCCCCGTACGGCACTGGAACAATGCAAAAAACCGGACCAAAAATGGTTTTGAAACAAAAATTTGGCCAATATCTATCCAATTTGGACCCTCCGATGCCTTCCTTTTCCAATCTCTAAGTCGTTAGCTCTATCCACGGAGCTAACCGGAGGGTTACTCAAAAAATCTCTAATAACCGCAAACCTTATGGTAGCACGCTCCTAACGCAAAAATTTTTATTGCTCTAACTCTAAAAACTCAAAAACTCGATCCCCAAAACAAATTGACAAAAATCGGAAAATTATCAAAATTTTGATCAAAAATTTTTTTTTGTTTTTTTCTTACTTCTACTGAGTCTTTTTTACGCGGTTTCATTAGTCATGGGGATTGAACCACGTAGCAACTCCCTATATAAAAGCTTTTTGCTGTTCGGAAGAGCTCGGATATCCAAAATTTTGGGGTCTGCAGTTTGGTCGAAAATCAGTAATTTTCGATAAAATTGGGTGTTTTTCAGGACTAAATAGGAGATAAGTAATATATAGTAAGGACAATAATCTTTTAGTAGTCGTTAATGAATATTACTATACCCTCCTTTTGCACCAAAATACCCGAATTAAAACCCTTAACTCGGAAATTCGTGATCGATGGAGGGTACAATCGGACCGCGCCAATCGTGCCCCCACCTCTTAAGTTTTGATGAAATAGTACCCGAACGATCCTAAAATTGTTTCAACGATACCCAACAGTCGTTGTGGATGTTGTCCCTGATGTCCCTGTTGAGTGTGGAACACGTCGGTCAGCTTGCCACTCTACCCTCCGGCCAGCGGCAACTCACCAGTAACGTGCTTAAATACTCAAATTACACTCAAGGGAGGGTACCCAACCCGTCACTAAAACACACAATCTTTCTATCAGAAATGATATAAATCAATCTGAAATAACAACAAAAAGGAAGTTCAGATCATATCTCGTCCGGAATTAACATATAAATTGTCACTTTATGTTTTTTATTGTTTTTGGTCTTTTTTGGATTTTTTACTGTTTTTTGTACTTTTTTGTTTTCAAATAAATTCGTTTTTGGCTTTTTCTTGGTTATACACTTTTTGTTTGGTTTTACGCTTTCTCTTTAATTGTTTCTGATCCCGGGACTTTGGGACAAGCGGGCTCATGACTTCCCACCTAACCCTCCGGCCCCCGGAATTTTCGGTGTTAACTAAGTAAAAAGCTAAATAGTACTAGGCGGAGGGTACGCACCTTCCCCCTAGTACAATAAAGGTCATTAAGGCCTCTAACGCGGGCATACGCCCGGAGCGGAAGGTTCGTCGAAGAAACGTTTGCTGATCATGATGGTCTCGTGCCTTTAACAGGCCCACCCAGGAGCGCCATAAAAACGTCTATGTAACTTTCGCCCAAATACTACGCAGTGACGGAGCGTAGAAAAGTACCTATTAACGACTGGCAGGCGTCAGTTACCTTAATCCTACTCGTTTTTCCGTCTCGACCTTGCCAGTTGATTTTCTGGTCTGTTTAGGGCCAAGTAAAAAGTTACTATTTTTAGGCCATCAGTCAAACGACATTTGATCAGCTTTCGTTTTTATGCAAACACAACCACATAGCTGGGTCTCGGATCCTCAGACTACGTGATTGCTATTAAAAACACGGCTCGATTGTCCTATTTTATTATGTTTTTGGTGACAGTTCTATGTTAAATCCATTGGAGATGGAATGACCCTTTCCTCTTCCTAGCTACTCATATTCTAAAATATCAAATAACACCGGTGTCAATTCAAAGTTCTATGGTATCAGAGTCGCAGAAAGTTAGTTTGTTATAGTCTTCCACCATATGTCAGTCTCTGGGGTACAGAGCCTCCGCTTCCGTGTTTTCCTCGAGATAACGTCGTTATCACTCCCAATTCGTGGCACGGGAGGTTTTTGCTCTTCACCACTTCCCCACTGAAGCCTCCTTTACCATTATCTTCTCCTCTGAGGGGCTTATCGAACGTGATCGTCACGATAAGAGGCTTAGTTTTTCTGTCTTAACGTGCGACTGTTTTCCACTAGATTTGCTGATGTTCTGACTTTTTCAACTTTTTCAGTCAAAATGGATGTTTTTCGTATTTCTGAGAAATATCCGTCTGACAACCGAAATTTTGAAAAATGAAATTTCTAGAATGTTTCTACCCTCCTTCGCAGCACTTTTCCGTCGTTAAGGCCTTTAATCGTTTTTTCGTGTTTCGCCGGAAGGTTGCTCTGTGCCAGTCTGGCAGAATGGCACATGCCTTGAGCGAAATCTTTGGTTTGGAGAATGTAGATGGAACCTCCGATGATGTGCTTAAACGTTGGTTTGAACTTGAAATTGAAATAGGTCCGGAAAATGAAATCTAAAAAAATTGGACGGAGCCAATTTTTGACAGCGAAATTGCAGACTTGATTTTACGACTCGAACCAACGGACGCAAAAAAATTCAACGCGTTCCAAGATAAATTTAGCTCCCAATGGTTGAACGTCATCCCGTGCAAAAATTTAAGGTTGAAACTGTCAAACTAACAAATCAAAATTGCGATAGGACTTCGATTAGGCTCAAAAATATGCGAACGGCATAAATGCGTGCGCGGAAAAGACGTTAGCGAGAATGGTTGGCATGGTCTTTCTTGCCTCAAAAGTGCAGGGAGATTCTCTAGGCATTCAAACTTGAATGCCCTTATAAAGCAGAAATTATCTTCTTTTCACTATCTTCCTATTTTAGAACCACGACACCTCTACAGGACCGATCAGAAGCGGCCAGACGGTTTGACGCTCGTTCCGTGGGCTGTTGGTAAGCAGCTCTTGTGGGATGTAACGGTATTAGACTCCTTAGCTCCTTGTAGGATTAATGCCGGGTCTGTTTGTAGATAATGGATATCTTTTTCAACCGCTAGGTTTTGAAATTCAGGGCGCGGACGGCCCCAGAACAGAATTTTTTTTGAGCAAGCTTTGTAAGAACCTAAGCATATGCACTGAGGAACCCAGAGCAGGCAGCTTTTTAAAACAGAGAATCTCCCTGGCAATACAGATTGCGAACGCCGCTTGCGTACTCGGAACAATAAACGACGAAATTTTTTATTTGTTACACTTGTATATTATATTTTCTCGTGTCGAGTTGCGTGTTCTTATTGAAGAAACGTATTCCGTATCGATTTTAACTGAAAAGGACTTATACACATGTCATCTAATTTAATCATTATCACTTCCATATCTAGAAAATTCTAAGGATTTGACTGGAATACGCGTGATAAAGGGACTCCTGACTGTAACCTCGGTTACTATGATACTTTTGAACTTCTGATTAAAAAAAACTCCATCCTATTGTGATTGAATTGTTTGGTGAAATTATTCAGATACTTTTTAGGAGAGAAATGGATCAAGATGACTCAGATTTACTCGTTCAAAAAGTGCAAAATGATTCTTCGATCGGCTCATGTGGTCTGGAGCAAATAGGATGTTGGTGTGTGTCCATATTCAGAGGAGGTGGTATTGAAGCCAAGTTTGAAGATGGGTCTATAATTCATGTGGCTCCTTGTGCCTCGTCTTTTCTTTTACAACTCCAGCCTCATAGAGACACACCATATGGCTGTGGTTTACATAAGGTCAATATTTTTTCTCACTTCAACTTAAGAGTACTAGGTACTAGCAACCGGGTAAGATACCATTGCAACCGGGTACTAGGTTCTTTCCCGTAAACAATTTTGACCACAAGATCTGCACTTCTAGAGGATTTTCACTTCTAGAGGAAGATACCTTAGTAGTATATTTTCTCGTGTCGAGTTGCGTGTTCTTATTGAAGAAACGTAACCCGTATCGATTTTAATTTGAAAAAAAAAACTAAATTACAAAAAGGGCCCTTCCGTTTAGTTACGGTAAGTGCACAAGCTGGATAGGGCCATACCAGCGATATAAAAATGCATATATATCAGCAATGAATTCATAAATCAGCATTAAATGCATCGTCGTAATGTTAATTTATCTTAGCCGTCCTTCCTCTACAATAGCGCTTATGTTGTCGATAAATTATTGTCGATAAATTGAACTTTGCGTAGCGATCTGCACCCCCTTATACAAAGTATAGAGCTCCTCAGGAGCGCGAAGCTTATTTTAGTTCTTATGTAGTTTATAGATTCTGGATAGCTTTCTTGTCTTTTTTCACTTAGTTTTTCGGCCAATCGCTGCATCGTCCGCGTGGTTGTTGGAGCAGCGCCACCAGTGCATCCAAAAATTAGCGGCCAGAAGCTACTCTGCTCTACGTTTAAAATTCTTTGCTGATATTTGGAGTTCTTCAGCGTTTCGTGGTATTTGTATGCATCCTTATGCAGTTTTCGCGATGTTTTGGCATGGGGGTTGAAAATTTTCACATCAAAGAAAGCGCGGCTGAATCGTGAACCCCAGAGTCCGTTTGCCTTAATGTCAAGTCGTGCCTCATCTTCAGTTGTGGTTGAATTGTTGACAAAGCTTTCGCCTTGCAACGGCTGAAGTTTCGGCTCAATCTCGACGTCATGGCAAACCTCGTTCATGAGGTAGGCGAATGTGTCGCTAATTTCATTGTGTCTGATGTGTGTGTAACCACCCTTTGCACAGTGAAGCGCATGTGTCAAGTTAAAATCAGCACCACATGCACATGTGAGTGGGGTTTGGGTTGGTTCCCATCCGTATCTTAAGTAAATACCATCTCTGAACTCTGATTTATTCAGGTTGAAGTTGTATCTGCTCAGTGGTAGAGCATTGAGCCAGTTAGAGGCTCCCTTTTCAGAGGCCAGGTCGATTGCGTATTTATCTGTTTCATTTAAGGAGTTAATGAGGTTTGTTTTTTTCAATTTGTTCTATCAGTTTTCAATTTTTTGATTTTCGTACATATTTTTTCTTGCTGTGTTACTGCTGTAATAGGATCTTGAAATTCCAGTACTAGCGATGTTTCCTTAGACCATTCTAGGTAGCTTTCATGATCGGATGGCAGCTTGATGTTAAGTCCGCCCATTTTAAGGGGTAAGGAAGATATCTCACGGAATTGGGGGTTTAAAGTGTCTTTACCGACTAGGTTAGGTAATAATTGTTCTTTGATAATACTTTCACATATTTCTAAGTTTTCCATAGTGTTAGGCGTTGTTCTGGCAAGAAATGAAAGCTTTTCTTGAACTCCTTTAGTATAGCAGGCATAAACGTTTTGAGGGGAGGTTTCAGCGATTTTCGTTAGTTTTTTCAAAATTTTGATTTGCTCATTCTGTTGAAATTCCAGGAACTTTTTACATTCAGATTCTGTTCCTATAACTGAACCAAGCACTCGGGCTCCTGCTTTTATAGTGATTCCTGTATTTGCGAAGATTTGCTGAGCTTCACCGAGTTTTTCATCCTCGACAATGAGTTGGCATTTGGATGCTTTCACGTGGTTGCCGAAAAATTTACCCAGTGATACAATTTTATCGAGGACGGTTCGTAGATTGCTTAATTTACCGACTGCGTTTCGGTCGTCTGCGTACCATTTCTGGGTTACATCGTCTACTGATAAAAGTTTTATGAGGGGTATTATGGCTAGACCGTAAATTGCCATTGCTAGTGGATCCCCCTGGGTTGTCCCTTCTTGAGAGTAGATTGTTTTTTTTAGCTTAGATGGATTGGAGTTCTTAATCGCTGTTAAAAGGGAAGGGCAGGTATTTTCGATGTTTTTTTAATGCCAGCTTTCGGTTCAGCGAGTTGAAAGCGTTTTCGGCATCTATCAGTAGAACAGCATCGGCGGAAGTTTTGCTGTATTGATCTCTTAGCGTGTGGATCGCATATTCAATGCCACATTTTTGTCCTAGGCAGAGTTGGTAGTTTGAACCGAGCGACATGAGTTCGTTTTTAGGCATTTAGTTATTGTTCGCCCTATTATCCTACGCATAACTTCTCCTATGCCTATGGGTCTTACCCCTGGATTCTTATCTAAGGGTATTAATCTGCATGCGTTATATGGTTCCATTAGTTCTGGATCTAGTTCTTCTGTGGCCAATTTTTTGGCAATTTTAGCAATTGTTTTTGAAATTTCAACTGATTGTTGCCCGAAGTGTGTTAGAATACGTCTCCATTCATTTGCATCGAGGCCAGATGGTCCATGCGATCCGTGCGTTCTCATGGCTGCCTTCTTGATATGTTGACCGTTTATCTGATCAAATATCGATGGGTGGAAAGGAATTGTTTCGTCTGAGACTGGTGTAATATAGTTCTCATCAATTGGTTTAGATTGTGGGTGTTTCTCTATGAGAGTCTGTTCTACTGTCTTACCTTTGACAATCTCGTCGAGCGAAAGAACGCCTTTAGATGTGTCTGTTAGTTTTGCAATTGCGCTTGATATTTTTCCAGTACTCATTAGTTTGTTGAACTGTTGTGCTTCAGTTTCAGTTTTTCTTCTACTTCCTTTCAACAAGCGCATTTGCAGCGCCTTGCCTTCATTATATAGTCCATCCAGGTCTCCGTCTTGCCATTGCTTAAGTCGCCTTGCTATTGTTTTGGAAAAAGATCCATCAATTTCGGACTTTGTTTTGCACAGTAATAAGTGTGGAAAAATCATTGCTGCGTGCATTGCGAAGGTATTTTCGTTGTTTTCTATCAGGCTGTTCAAAGTTCTTTTGAGGGTTTCAATGAAGTTATAAGCAACTTTATTTTTTGACAAGATCATAAAGACCGGTTTCCAGTGAACCACTTCGGTGTATATTTTCCTGGTGGTTTCTATGAGTTCTGAACAGGGGTTTGACCATGGGTCTTGTATTGCTCTAGGTTCTATAGTGGAAGACTCTCCTGTGTTTTGTGAGTGTGGGGTAGTGGAAGGGTGAGGGTGCATTTGGGGGAGCGTGGTTGTAGCTAGGGTTGGGGGATTGCATTCATGCTTGTCGTTAGCTGAATGAAATTGGGAGGTGCAGCGATGACAACTGAAATCGTCATAGTGATCACTGCTGCGGGCTAGGCCGCTGCATTTTACATGCATGTAGCCCGGGCATGTGAAGCACCAATTACCTCCGCCTCGCAGGCTGCTTTTACAAATAAGGCAGTGTGTTTGAGTAGCCATTTTAGGAAGGACGGCGGTGTCAAGTTAGCGAGAGAATTTATAGATTAAATTTGCAAGAAAATTTGTTAAGAAATCATTACCGTAGAACGAGAAATGGATGCCATCACGTCAGAACATTTGAGGGGTTAGATTTAGGTTGAGGTTAGGCGAAACAATAAGTGTATGGGGGTGTACAAATCTATTTATCAAATTAAACAGCACATGATTATGAATATAAATTTTGCGGTTTACTTCGGAATTATTACAGTTCTGAATTGTTTTGGGGATGATCAGTGTCTTGGGCTGAAACTTATTAGTGACGAGGTTAATCAAGTTTTTCCACTGCTGTTCTAATTCTTGTGGATGCAGCCTGTTGTCATTGTATCCAGCAACTATTGTTACTGTGTTTAGGCGCTTTGGTCTGTATTGTAAAACTGTTTCAAACAGATCATGAAGCGTTGCGCCGCGGTAGGAGTGAATTGTTGATTTTACTAGAGCTGGTTTGATATATTTGGTCCTTGAAGTCCCGATAACTAGTTTCTGTGAGAACTCAGGGATGCGTCTTGCCTGGAATCGCGGCATCAACCTGAAACACAGACAACTGGGGCGAGAAAGGAAGCTCTTTGGGGTGATTTATGAATACTTTCACTTAGGGTTTAAAATTGGAGGCAAAGGCGATGAAAAAAAAGGAGTGGTACAACCTGACGTCGATTTGGAGGTCGATTCACCAGCTCACTCCTTGCGTCTAGTTACGCCAGGGAAACTTCACTCGCCTACGGCTGGGACGGCGAGATTTGGTAAGATAACCAGAAGAAAAGCCCAGCGCGCATATGATATGAAAACACACGAGCGGTAAATTTGAACCATTTAATAACTATTTGATAAGTTTATCACAACAATTGATTTTAATTGTATAGACATCAACGCCTGACATCTTCTTTTATCATTATCACTTCCATATCTAGAAAATTCCACGGATTTTGACTGGAATACGTGATGAAGGGACTCCTGACTGTAACCCCGGTTACTATGATACTGTTGACCTTCTGATTACCCATTTTGCGAAGGAAGAGTCGACTCTTTCATAGGTCGTGATGATTTTTTTTTCAGGGAAGTGTCTTCACCCTTGCGATAAGCAAGGGTAATGCAACCGGAAACTAGGTTTTTTTTCCCGTAATCAATTTTGCCCACAAGATCTGCACTTCTAGAGGAAGACACCTTAGTAGTATCTTTCTCTAGAAGATACTTAAGTAGTAATTAGTTCAAACCCGTTTCAGGTAGTAATTATCTTTTCAAAAATTTTCTCAATTTTTTGTTTTAGTCCTAGTTTCTGTCGGTTCATTTTCCGTTTTCTTGAACGCCATTCATTATCTGGTAAGGTTTTTACTCGCTTTCTTTTTGAAGCATAGATTTTGTTCCGATTTAAACGGACGCCATACTATTTATAGATGCAGAAAATGCCTTCAAATCGCTCAATAGAGAACTTGCTCTAAAAAATGTAGAAATCCTTTGTCCGGCAATACAACATGCGCTGGCCAACTCATCTAAGCATCCCTCAAGTTTATATGCTGAGGGATG